TTTGATAGGGCTTCCTTGAGATTCTTGTTCATCGTGTTGTCCCCGACAAAACCCCGAAGTATCATAGAATTCGGAGCACTTTTCTTTTAGTGGGGATTTGAGATTTTCATCTCAAATTGAGGTAGGGGATGTCTTAGATTTATATTTATGTTATATTGGTTGTTATATAATTATTTACAACTTGTAAGCATGCCTTTGTTCAAGTTTTAGAATTTAATTTAATTAATTTATATATTTAAGATTTAATTCATATGGTTGTATATAACTTGGAATTAAATTGTGGCATGCTAGTAAATAGGCCTTGATATGTTTATCAACATATATTAAATTGGGAGCATTTGAATAAGAATTGCAAATTTTATTTTATATTTATCTTTTGTAAAAGATTAATTCACATAGTTAAAACAAGGATGAAATCAACTTATAATGTGATATTAAAGTAGGCCTTGGTGAGTTCTTTAACATATGTTAATTTGAGGATATTTGGAGCTGTTTAAAAATCTAGAGAAAATTAATTAATTAGCTTAATTAATTTTTTTTTAAGTGTTGTAGTCACTTAAATTGATTTTGGGTAGAATATATGTGAAAACCATGTTATGTCCTTTTATATATATTAATTTGAGCTTTTTTGGAATTTATTTGAAATATAGAGACTTTTCATGTTAGGGTGATGATCTCATGAAATGTAGTGCAATAAATTACCTTGTGAGTATATTACTAATTAGATGTAGAATTAGTACTTGGGGTATCGTAAAATGGTAATTGGACTTAGCATGGTATGTGATATCATTGTCTTGAATAGCTTGTTTAAATATATCTTGTGTAGATATATAGCTTGTTAGAATATCACAATTATTTACCTTGAAAGCTTGTTGCTAAATTGAAGCTTATTTAGTACTTGTGGCTTAGGAGGGTAATGTGGTTCAATTGTTGTAAAATATTCTTACTTTGTGTATAAATTGCATATTGAGGACATGGCATGTCATATGCTATATAGACTTGAATTCTAGGACATGGTTTGCATGGATTCAACCTTACTTGTACATGGAATGTGGTAACTTGCATTTGATTTTGTATAAGTTTTGAACTTATTGATTTTGGAAAGTTTGTGAGTACATAATTTATGTGATGGCTAGGGTTTGGCTCTAGTACATGGACAAGTGTCATCTAAGTCAGGTGGTACCTTGTGGGTCGTAATTACCCGAAAATACTTGTTTGGTCTAGCGACCACATGTCCTAGTCTTTCCACTATTTGATTTCGTATTTAATTTTAAGTTATTAATCATGGATTACTTGTAATTTGAGAATTGATGCTTGCTTTGGATATTTGAATCCTATATAGCATATTTGAACTTGTATACTTGCTCTGTGAGTTTAAATTTCATTTAGTATACTTGTGCCGTGTATACTTGTCTTATGTGTATTTTGTTTAGCTTAGTATACTTGTGTTTGTATACTTGATTTATGAGTACTCTATATATGTTGAACACTTATGTATGTGTGTTAGATATTGCTTATCTTGTTTAACATGATTTAAGGTACTTTAACATGTATGTTTGTATGTCGTGTATTATGTTTTAATACGGTTTAATGTACTTGAGCATGTGTACTTGTATGCCGTAACTCATTTCGATTGCATGAGTAGCTTAGGATGATTCCCGAGTCTCACTTGACATAGACGTTAGGTGGCATGAGCCCCTTTAACATGTTTCACCTTAAGGTGATAGAGTTGTAAAATGCTAGGTCGATGCATTCTCATCTCCTACGAGTAGCTTTATGTTACTCACCCACGTAGTAGGGACATTTTTCAAGTACAGGGACCTTGATTTGGGATGCATACTATGCCATGGAAGTTTCGTAGACTTAAAGTATCATTTTCATGAAAATGTTGGCATGAAATCCTATTTGTAGCTTTGTATGTCAAAACTTGTATATTTTATTCTAATCATGTAATATGTACATAAGTACACTCTTTTCAATATATTTGACATGTATAAGATGAGGTCATAGGCCAATGACATCTAATTTGTATCCTATGTCACTTTTGACGTCACGAAATATTATGAAAATATTGAAAAATGGCAAGTCATTGACTCACCATGTTTGCATCGGGTGTGGGAATTCCATTTTTATTCTTTCATAGGGTCTCATTAATCATGCATGAAGTGTGGCCAAAGGCCAAACGGTAATTTGAAACCATTTTATAATTTTAAGTTTTAAAATTCCCTTTTCATGTGCATTTTCGCCTTTTTTGGCCGTCGGGGGGTTGAATTTTGTATCGGCCATTTTTGAAAGCCATGGACCATTCCCGCGCGCTTAAAAACACTAAATACGTTTGCGTGCATAATCGTGTTAGCCTAGAATTGCATTTAGGGTCAAATGAACACTTGGTGCAAAGTTACATTTTCCTTGTTTTTGGCCTAGACTGATCAGGGGTGTTCTGGGCATTTCACAGTGTAGTTTTTTCATTTTCTTCTGCGCTACCGGGTAGAAAATGTGATTTCAGGGAGGGTTTCTTCTTCATGTTTTTCTAGAAAATGTCGTTAAAGGCCCCGTTTTCGCTCTCTGTTCTGGCAAATTTCAAAAGAAAAACATGTATAAGCTTTTTGTTTTAACCCTCTTGCTCTAAACTGATCTAGGGGCATTTCGGGAATTTTATTTGAAAAATAAATTCCGGTCTTAACATGGTCACATAGAAAATGAGATTTTAGGAGGGGTTTCTTCACAACATTTTTCCAGAAAATGTCGTCTCGGACCCGAAAACCCCGCGTCAAATCTGATTTCCTGTACGCACCTGCACTATTTGAAAAAGTCTATTGTAAGGGCATTTTGGGGATTTCATGTCAAAAATAAATGTTTCTTTCGACTTGGTCAGCTTGAAAAAATTATTTTGAGCAGGGTTTCTTCTTCGTGTTTTTCCAGCAAAAGTCGTTTAGTGCCTCAAAACGGTACACGATTTCAGCATTTTGCCCATGTTACTATTCATTGTTGTCAAAACACTATTCACGGCCGCGGCGACGTCAAAACTTTGTTTTGACTTTTCTCTTCCATCCGGACTCCGAATCAAGTGATTCTTGAGTCTAACTTGATTAATTTTTCGCTGTCGTCCTAGTGGTGTGATCGGTAGCACCCGATTTTATATTTTCAGAAATGACTATTTTGCCCCTGGGGCTTATTTGTTATATTTCCAATCTTTTGTTTCTGCGTCAGTTCTCATTAAATTCTACGACTTCATGGAAGGTCATCAAAGTGTCTTAGAGATGTGTTGTGCATTGAGAGACCGTTGTCTTATTTTCTTGCTTCCGCATCTAGATCCGTTATCGGGTCAATCTTCAATTCATCACAGGACACACTGGCTTGAAAAACCAGGGCCGTCACAATCCCGTTTTCTTGATTCCCTTCATTGGGGTGTGGCTTACGGAATTATAAGAAGTGTACTTTAAGTTTTCTTTACTAAGCCGTCGTGCTCATCCCATTATTAACATTTTTTCAGGAATTGATAAAGAAGTAAAGGAGGATCCACAAACTCGCCTTTAGACCATGTATTTGTGCATATTTTGATGTATATGATGAATTGTATTTCAATGATCTAATTTGAACTTATTTTGAAGTATACAATGATATAATTGAATTCATTAGGTAGTATGAAGGATGTTTTGTCATGTATTCACATGAATAAAGGCTTAATTCGTTAATTTCCTTTAATTGAACACGTTTAAATTGTGTGATGTAAATTATTGACCTAGGCACCTCCATGTAGTCATTATTCATGTATTTGGGGAAGTTATAACATAAGATTTAACCTTATGAAGGTCCATTTAGCTCATTCGAAGTTTCAAGTAGTCAAATCGACTATTTCCGAGTTATTCGCATTCATTTGGGTGCATTTGGACACCCCACTATCATCCCTAACCATAGGAACTAACTTTAGGGAGCTAATTTTACGGTTCACCAGAGAGCCGAGCGCTCGCACCTCTATTTTTCTATTGGTCTTTTTTGGAACCCGATTTTGTAACAGTAATAACTTACTCATTTTAAATTCAAATAAGGTCATTCTTGAGCCCAAATTGAAGCATTTTTCACCAGCTTTTCAATAGTACCAATCTCATTCTCAGATTCCAATCCTACCAAGAGATATTCATTTTTTAGAGAGACAATATCGAGAAATCGTTCAAACCAAGAATGCGTATTTGTGGGAAACCAAGTCTATAGCCCTTAGAATCTCTTGGAAGGTTATATAATGATTAAAATGAATTGAACTACTTCATTAGACTTGTTCAAAGTCAATTTATCCTTCTCCCTTACATGAGATGACCATTTTACCCCTAATATGGCCTCGGGTCCGGACAAAGACCCGGATTCGTTTTCTTTGCCCATTCATGATTCGAATCCTCCGGATTCAAGTCGTTACAACTCAAGAGCTTGAAGTGCAAGTGATCCACATCTATTATTGGAAAAATCACACGGTTATGTTCTATTGCATAGAATTGAAGGCTCGGAATGGAAGTTGGAAAAAATTTTGGTTCAATTTTCTATGACTTTGAACTAAAACTTTTCTCAAATTCCACCTATTCCAATTCTAAGGCTCCAATTTCATCCAATTTCATGCAGTGGAACATAGGTCAACAATTTTTCGTCAATTATTTCATTTTTTATTATTCTTTTAGTAATGTTTTAATCTCAAAGATGCTTTAGTAATATTATATTCTAGATTTTTATATTTGCAGGTAGGGTTTTAGTAGGGCTTTTTATGATTATTGAATATTGAATTGTGCTGATTAGAGATACATCTTTCCATTTTTTCTTCTCCTCTTCCCCTACTTCTTGCTCTTCTCTTCTCCTCTTCTCATTCTCTCTATCAAATCAGAATCAAAGCAGCCCTAACCATCCCGCATCACTTTGTTCTAAAATTCACTCATCAACCACAAAACAAATGGATTAGGTTAAAAGAAATGCCACATTCATCAACAGACCTTCAAAATTACCACGAGAGAAAGATATAGACAAATAAAGTTTAGAATTTTATTCAACCCAATTAATGTCCAAATCCTTTAATTTCATGAGCCACTTCTGTGTATCTTGAGAGACATAAGGTTTCAATGGTGTTTTCTCTTCATCACCAGATGCCACATAATCATTTTTCTTATCATTGGCAAACTTTGCCTGCCTGTTAGGGTGCCTCACCTTAAGCGATAGAAGGCGAGAAACTTCATGTAGGCCCCCCCATTTCTCCAATGCACGTGCAATGTCGTAGCGACCTGTAAAGAGGAAAATGAAAAAGAAAAGGAATAATGTCAAACCATTCACTTTGTACCTCCAATTGTACTTCTTCAAGTTTATCAGAGGACACACACCAAAAGCTCCATTTTGCTTTTGAGCTCATATGGATTTTTAATATTATTACTCCAGGAAGGCCAAATATGAGGTTAAGGACATTGCCTACAACTTCGTTTAAATTTACTCTACACTTTGGTTTTTAATTCCCAATCGACTTGCACAAAATTCTGCAGACCTGCTTTTGAGTGGTTAGCAAAAAGTGTTGACATAAAAGCATGGTTTAGATTTTTGTGTTTTGCTAATGGAAGATTGCAAATCATTCGGTATAGTGACATAATAGTTTGGAGGATCCCCCAGCTGTTAATTTAATAAGCAAGAAAAAGCCAATGCAAATGATGCTGCCTAAAGTGAATATACAGAAAGCATTACTACAATAAAAATAGATGGAAAATTATTTTATGCACCTGCACGCTCAAAAGATTTTCGACTGGGCATATACGAAGGGTCCATTCCCCAGCTCCTTTGGAACCTACTTATCTGCAACATAGAGAGGACCACTTATAAAAACATCACCATAGTTAAGTTCAGAATAAATTATAATCACAAAATAGCACTTCTTTGGATATTAACTAGACTTTTAATTAAAGGCGTATGCACTTGGATTTCCTTTTATCATTAGGCCACAAGCAATTTATTCTTGACAAATGGTTGTTTTGAAATGTATGATGAAATGAAGAGTTCATACATAAACTAGAATGATGTACTTCAGCTTACCTCTTCTTGCAAATTTTCAAGATTATCCCAATAACCCTTTGGTTTGCGGTGTTTATAAGCAAGGGAAAGATTCATCAATGACGCGATTCTTCTAAATCCGCCCATGCGTGTGATTGCCTTCTCAATATCTACTCTTCCATGGTTTCGAAGTTGCTTTCTCATGGGCATAAACCCTTCCTGCCCATATTCTGAAATAAAGGTCAGGAGTTCAGCTTTAAGAATTTCAATATCTCTCCGCAAGCCTGGCACCCTGGGTCTTCGTTTGGATGAATGTGGACCATTGCAATCAGAAATCTTCACAGCTGGCCAACTACAATCAGCATATCTGTCATTATTAGTCAAAGCATTTTTCTCCTCCGAATATAACCCAAGATCGCTTGTTTCCATACACTTTTCTGCTTCTCTTTTTTCAATATAATCCCGAATTGCACATAAGTTTGATGGGAGATCTTCATATATGACCTAAGGAACAAAGAGTTCAGCATTAACAAAGTAATTCAAAGCCTGCCAAAAAAAAAAAGAAAAAAAGAAAAAAAAAAAAAAAAAAAAACAGAGTTAGAATCTACAGCTAATCTATGCACAAGTGACAAATATTTTCTTAGTGGGCATACTGTCATTCTGCTCTCTTTAGCAATGAATAAACAAAATGAAAGTAAGGAGAGAGCAAGAGAGGGAAATTTAAATGAAAAATCCTCATAAGAGAGTAAAAAATCATGGAACCTTGCCAGACCAAGAACAATCCACTATACACAAAGAGATGTAGAACCAGGTCACAATTCAGTGGTCGGACTCTTATCTAATCTCTAACTAAGTAGAATACCAAATCTTCAGCCTTCAAAGATCTCTACATCATTCTTTTGATCTGTCTACAACTTTCGATTCCATGAACATGCTCCTCAATTGATTGTTCTTCTTCTCTGTACTCTGTTGTATCAGTTGATTGTAGCAAAATTGATTTCTTAGCATCCTTGATGTGTATTAAATCACCCAAGTATAAAGTACGTGGTTGCTAGATAGAATATATGAAGAACATAGCCGACCGTAGAAATATATAAAAACCCCAAAACTTACTCTTGATGTTTTTGGGTTCAAGTGTCTCAATCAATCGAGCCTCTCTAAATAATCCTCCAGCGATCGATGAGCATATTGAAATTCTGCCAATCAATCAACAGTATTCTCAATCAATTGAATCTTTCTGGATTCTGGTTCTAAGTCTAATTTCCATAAAAACTCATTTCTGTCTTAGTTTTGGAAACCCAATTTACTTTAAAATATTTTCAAAGCATGTTTAGCCCTAACCCATTATTAAAATAGGCTACCCTAAGGTCAATCTAAGTTCATTACCTATAACCTATCCAACTTCCAAGTGATTGAACATCCATCTTCCTTTTATTCTGTGTTTGACTTGTCTTCAACTGATGTTCGTTGATCAACTCAACGGCACTCTGACACTCAATACAAGTATGTTTCGATGAGTATTATGCCAAGACATGACTATATATCCTAACATAGTGAATAAATATACCTTCGATAACCAGACACTTTACTCTATAGAGCCATTAAGAGAGATCCTCCAACGGTACAGCCTTTAAATTTATTAACAATTTAACATATTCTCCAAATATCAACATAAAAAATAGACTACCACATAGAGTGCAAATCTCAAAGTGTAGGTCTACAATATAAAAAATGCTACGAACCTCTTCCATGATAGCTTCAGAAAGGAAGGAATTCTTGTGCATTCTTGATTCTACTGTGTACTTCAATAGTGTATGATGATTCCCAAGTTGCTCCAGAAGCCATTTTCCCTGAAATGAGTCAAAGTCCCCTTCAACTTGTTTGAAACTAATCTCCTGTTCAACATGTTCACACAAATCTAGGACAACTCGTGCATGGAGCACCATATACAATAGGCCCTTGCATCCTTCCTGAAAATTTGATAAAAATATAAGCTCCTCTAAGTTTTAACAGGATCCACTGTCTTAAGAGTGGAGTATGGCTCACAGTTTAGCTTCAATGGGATATAGTGAATTGAATCATTTTCAGTATATTATACTATTGTAAGGAAATTAATACACACACAAGAAAAAATAAGAAAATGGTATGAATTTTCATGAAAAAGGATACGGAAAAAAAGAAAAGTTGTTCATTGTTATTATACTTCGCTAGTAACATATTGACCCAAAATTAGACGAGTCCAGGAACATCAACGAGTAGGTGAGGCTTTCATACCAGATGAGATGGTCAGGAACTCTACTGGCAATATATTGAACTTGAAAAGTTACTATTTTGACCAGAATGAAGTTGTACCAGAGGAAGCTTTCTTTGTCCAGTTTAACTTTGACTAGAATCGAATTGCACCAGTGGAGCTTTTCCTTGCAACCAGTTCAATATCGAACAGAATCAACTTTCACCAGTGGAGCTTTTTCTTACACTGGTACAAGCTTGACAGAAAATCCCGATTCCTCAATGATTTGAATTCACGCTGGACTCTTAACTAGAGGATAGATTATGACAACAATAAATACAGGACTTTAGTGTGAAAAAATTGCAGAAAAGGGAGTGTACACCTAGGTATCCAAAAACCCTAATTTTTTATGAATTTAAAAGATTTCTTAATTCTTAAGTAGGAAATTCATTAGATACCCTTTATGAATAATTTTGATTTAGTGAGAGCAAGGAGCTTCATTGTGATTGTTCAAAATCAACTGAAAATGCATATTTCAAATCATTCTACTTGAAGTTGACATTGGAGGATTAAATGAGAAGAGGGAGGATTGTTCATTGAGCAATCATGTTCAACAGTCAGCAGCTTGTTTGGGAGATTGTAGTAGTGAATCTGAAGTCTTCAACAACTGGGCTCTTGTGAGTATGAGCATAGTTCGTGTAACTTTTCTTCGATGTAGTGGATTGCATTGCTCTGGACAATGGTCTAGTCGTTTTTCCTTGTTGAGGTTTTCCACATAAAAATTTGGTGTTTTCTTTCCTTACTTGCTTTACTCTATTTTGTGGTTGGATTGTTGAGCAATTTATTTAATTTAAAGTTTTAAATAAACCTAAAATATAATTATTCGTGAAAAGAAGCTAGTTGACCTGTTGACACTCCTCTAGGTGAATAAGAAATCGGACTATATCAACTATCCACTTTTGCAGAGTGAAACTCCCGAATTTGAATGAATATTAAGAAATAAAAAAGTAGGACAGTGGGTCAATTTTGTGTTTCAGAAGAGCCTATGAGCCGTATAAAGTTGATGGTCCTCTAACTGGTGAATGAATTTCAACCTTTGGTTGGGCGAGTCCCCAAGTAGTTGCACCAATTTCTGCTCTAATGCAAACTTTATTCTTTTCTTCCTCATTGCTTCTTTACGAAAAACCCTATTAATTTTAATTGTATTTGTTATGACAAACGCAACAAACCCAAGATAAAATCAAGAATCACGACAAAAAAGTGAACACACCACACAAAGAATACAGATTTATACGTGGTTCGGCAACAGCCTATGTCCATGGTTGGGATCCGACAAAAGTTTTCACTATGTATAAAATCGGAGGTTACAAGTTTTCAGCCCCACTCTGTTTCTGTACGAATTTCAGTCTCTCTCTCTTTCCCACTCCAAACCTTATGAAGTGAAACCTGACATCAATGTGCTTGGTCCTCTCATGGAACATCTGATTTTTAATCATATGTGTGGCACTCTAACTGTCGCAAAACACAGTAAAATCATCCTGCTGCAAGCCCAAATCACCGACCAAGCCTCTCAACCATATAACTTTCTTCAATGCATCTCTAGCTACCATGTACTCAACCTCAGTAGTAGACAACGCAACTACGGGCTGCAAAGTCGCCTTCCAACTGATCACACTCCCACAAAGAGTGACGACATACCCTGTCAAGGACCTCTTCTATCAAGATCTCCAACAAGATCCGAATCAACATATCCAGCAACACTCCCACACGTCACTACCTCTACCATAGACTAACCTAACATCTGCAGTACCTCGCAAGTATCGTATATCCACTTCACAGCTTACCAATGGACCTTGCCAGGTCTATCCATGTATCAGTTCACTACACTAACTGCATGTGAAATGTCTGGCCTAGTGCACACCATAGCATACATAAAGCTACCAACTTCACTAAAATAAGAAACACGATACCTGTGCTCCACCTCCTCCTCGGTATGTGGTGACAATCGTGCTGAAAATCTAAAATGGACAGCCAATGGAGTATTCACTGGCTTTGATGCCTGCATACTGAAGCGTTCCAGTACCTTCTCAATGTATTTCTTCTGTGACAAATACAATCTGCCCTCTCCTCTGTCCCTATGAATTTCCATACCCAATAACCTCTTTGCAACACCAAGATCCTTCATCTCAAATTCACCACTAAACCGAGCCTTCAACATGTTGATTTCAGACATGTTCTTGCAAGCTATCAACATGTCATCAACATACAGCAACAAATATAAATACGAACCATCTGAGAGCTTTCTGTGATACACACAACTGTCAAATGTACTCCTACAGTAGCCATTCCCAAACATAAAGGTGTCAAATTGCTTGTACCACTATCCAGGAGACTGTTTTAGCCCATACAAGGACCTCTTCAATAGGCAAACATGATCTTCCTTTCCCAGAATCTCAAACCCCTCAGGCTGATGCATATAAATCTGCTCTTCCAACTCACCATGCAACAAAGCAGTCTTGACATCAAGTTGCTCAAGCTCCAAGTCATGCAGAGCAACCACAGCAAGTAACACCCAGATTGAGCTATGTTTCGCCACAGGAGAAAACACTTCATTGAAATCCACCCCTTCTCTCTGTGTATAGCCCTTCACCACCAAGCGTGCCTTTCCCTCTGTGTATAGCCCTTCACCACCAAGCGTGCCTTGTACCTCGCATCTTCCACCCCTAGAATTCCTTCCTTCCTTCTTAAAGACCTATTTACAGCCCCCAATCGCCCTTAGGCTTCTTAACTAGCTCCCAAGTCTGGTTCTTATGAAGAGACTCAATCTCCTCACTCGTGGCAACAGACCACGGTGCTGACTCTCCACCTGTGATGGCCTCATGATAAGTACACGGCTCATCAATATCCTCTACCACACTAAGTGCATAAGCAACCGAATCAGCATGTGAAAACCCATACTTCTCAGGTGGCCTAATATCCCTCTTAGGCCTGTCTCTAGCCACACTATACTGTTATAACTGTGCATCTCCCTCGGCCCGAAACTGCACCTGCTTGTGAGTCGATCGAACAGGACTATCCTCTAACTGAACCTCTACAATTCTCCACCTGCTCACTGACACCCTGAGCTTTCCTTGAATCAACTACCTCCTTATGGGGAGTAAACATTGCAGACTCATGAAAGGTCACATCCCTGCTAACAAGTATCTTCTTTCCTAAAGCCTCTGGGTACCATAATTTGTATCCCTTGACCCCAGGCTAGTAACCAAGAAATATCCATTTCTTAGCCCTCAGTTCAAGCTTCCCCTCATTCACATGAGCATGTGCCAGATACCCAAATATTCTTAGATTACTATAACTAGTAGGAGAATTATACCATACCTCCTCTAGAGTCTTACAGTCGATGGAGACCGGTTCACCAAGTAACTAGTTGTAGAAACAGCTTCAGTCCAAAACGCTTTGTCTAACCTTGCATTGGACAGCATACCCTGTGCCCTCTCCAATAGTGTTCTGTTCATCCGTTCTGCAACTCCATTCTGCTGCAGAGTCTTCCTCACTGTGTGGTGTCTCATAATCCAGTGAGTCTTGTAGAACTCATTAAATTCTCCATCACAAAATTCCAAGCCATTGTCTGTCCTCAAGCGATCGACCTGTTTTCCTATCTGCTTCTCAACCAAGGTCTTCCACTGCTTGAATGTAACAAAAGCCTCATTCTTGTGCTTCATAATATAACCCAAACTTTCTGAGAAAAGTCATCAATCAGCGTCATCATATATCTACCACCACCATATGAAATAACCTGAGAGGGAGATCAGAATGAATATAATCCACCGCACCCTTGGTTCTATGAATTCCTATACTAAACTTCACTCTACACTGCTTCCCAAAGACACAATTCTCACAAAAATCCAGTTTCCCATTTTTCTGACCACCAAGTAAACCCTGCTTACTCAACATCCATCCCCCTCTCACTCATATGCCTAAGCCGCATATGCCACAATCTGGTAGTATCTGAATCCGGATCTGAGGATGATACAACAATTGAACCTGTGATTGTGTTACCCTACAAAGCATATAAACCATGCTTCATTAGTCCTTTCATCACCACAAGAGCACCATTGAAAACCCGAATGACTCTACCTCCAACCTTATAAGTTCACCCGATGGAATCCAGCGTACCCAGGGAAATCAAATTCTTTCTCAGTTCTGGTACATGCCTAACATCAGTCAGTGCCCTCACTATGCCGTCATATATCTTGATTCGAACTGTACCGATACTTATAACTTTACATGCCGCATCATTCCCCATCAGAACTTCCCCTCCATCAATAGAACGATAAGAGGTAAACCAGTCCCTGTTTGGACAAGCATGAAACTAGCAACCTGACTCAAGAATCCACTCATCGCAAGAGCTGCCAACTAAAATTGTGAGAACATTACCACCATCTGAATCATTACCCTCTGCAACAGCCACACTTTCAACTTCGGAAGATTTTACCTTTCCCTTCTTACGCTCTCGACAATCCTTTTTGAAGTGCCCTTCCTTGTGACAAATGAAGCATCTTAATACCTTCGTTTTGTTCTTAGACTTAGAACGACCTTTACTGCCAGACCCTCTCTTCTGATTTGTTCTCCCTTTAACAAATAACCCCTCTATCGAACTTTTTGTATTGCCCTCAAACGCCCTTTTCTGCAACTCCTTAGAATTCCAAGTTGCCTTCACGCCTTCCATGGACAAAGCAGTTCTGCTATACATCATTGTATCGACAAAGGTCTCATATGAGGGCGGTGGAGAACACAATAGAATAATAGCCTGATCTTCATCCTCTATCTTAACATCGATATTATTCAAGATGGTCAATAATAGCCTGATCTTCATCAATACTATTTACCTCATCAAGATGGTCTTTTAGAGACGAACCTTCGTGCATCTAAAGAGTGAACAACTGCTTCTTTAGATACAAGTGATTCGCAAGATATTTTGTCATATACCGGGACTCTAACTTCTGCCACAACCCATCCGCCGTGGTCTCTCCAACAACTTCTCGCAGAACCTCGTTACTCGAGCACAACAAAATCGTACTATGTGCTTTCTCCATAACCTCATCTTTGTCCTTGATCTTTTCTGGCAGTACATCATTCCCCTTCAACGCCTTGGATAACCCTTGTTGAACCAACGAAGCCTGCATCCTAACCCGCCATAGGTTGAAATCATTTCTGTCGTTAAATTTCTCGATTTCCAGAAACTTGGACAACATCCCTACTTTGAACCGAAAGCTCTAATACCAGTTTGCTATGACAAACGCAACAAACCCAAGATAAAATCAAGTATCGTGACAGAAAAGTAAACAAATCACACAAAGATTTATACGTGGTTCGGCAATAGCCTACGTCCACGGTTGGGATCCGGCGAAAGTTTGCACTATATGTAAAATCAGAGATTATAAGTTTTCAACTCCTCACTCTGTTTTTGTACGAATTTCAAAGTCTCTCTCTTTCCCACTCCAAATCTTAAGCACCCTTATATATCGGGTTACAAGAGACTAATTAGGGTCCACAACCCATGAGCAAAAAACTGGTCAAAAATTTTCCTCTAACGGGTCGTCAGGTCATAAGCTGGTCGTAACGCGACCTGGCACCAAATTCGGGCCACAACATCACAGTATTTGAGCTGCATTATTTTGCGCATTTGATAAGTACAAGTAGGCCAATTAGGTATGAAACATATATAGTAAGTTCCATGAGAGAAGGGAAAAGGTTCCTAATAAGTAATTTAATTTTTTTCATAATTAATTAATAAGAACTGTTTCAGTTCACAGTATAACAGAAATCCTACTTTACCTGAAGAATGCAAACTTTGTTGTTTTCTCGTGATATAATCTTACTGATGGCTAGATTTGGAACTATCCTGAAAAATTAGATTGATAAGGAAACAAGATCAGAAAGATAATCAAAACTTGATGGGAAAGCATGCAAGGCGCATATGGAACATAAATTTCCAAAATTTTCTAATTCAGGGATCAAAGTAATCGAATGAAGTGTATAATGAAACTGAAATCAGAGCCTTCCTCTCAGTTATAATTTTCTTTGATTTTTTAATTATTTCATATTCTTTCATAATGAGTAATATACAGGATTCATCCAAGATCCAAATTCATGCCAAAATACAAAGTTTTCAAGGATCATATTAGCAAGAAGGCTTAGATATCATTAAGATAGCTGAAAATAACATAGGAGGGAACACAAATATGAACATGAAAAGCAAAAATACTTGATAAAATTCAAAAACTATCAAGGGAACAGTATAATAAAGCAGGACTGATTAGTGGAAATAATGTAAAGAGAGAAAACCCTACATGGGAATAAACTTCATAAGCACAGGATGGCCCTTTATAGTTTTATCTGTTATTTCCCCCCCCCCCCCCCCCCCCCCCCCCGCCAAACAAAACAAAAAAAAAACAAAGCATTTTGTTAATAATTTGGACCAAACTTTCTGAGTCTTCAGCATTACACATCTACATAAGTCTTAAAACTTTATATAAATGCTTTATTTTCATTCTGGAACATACTGATCACGTTTTTGTCCTCCTGGGACAACTTCACATTTTGGTCCTCTCTTACCCAGGAGGACCAAAAATGAACTTCAATTTGAGGCTTGAATAAAACAAATGGACTTAGATATATTATTTTTAATTCTATTCTAGTCATTTCTTGAGCTTTCAGTCGAGTATTTAGGTACCAGTCTTCTCCAATTATTCACCTCATTACAGGTTTCATATGGTATAAATATGGGTAACAGACTATTCAAAATATAACACAAACAAAAAAACTACCAATAAATAAATACTGGTGCTTAATAAGTTTACAAATGCTGCATCAATTGGTATCAAACCTATAACTAGCTTTCCTTTTGAAAAAAACCTGTGAATAGCTTGTTCTGATGGTTAACTACGAAAAAAAGGGCAATCGTTCAAGCAGCAAAGATTGTGGTTTATAACTATAATGTCCTAATTCTTTCTCAACTATTCCCATTTCCCAAAATAATATTTTAAATGATACAATTATCCACACATTACATGTTATGTATGCTTTTTATCAACTGCTTCAATAGTAGAAGATGAAAAGAAAAACTTGACTTGATTTGATTCTGCTTGATATAATGCAAGGTTTTTCTATTGAGTATAATCCACTTTCTTGTTTTTCCTTTTCCCCTCTTTTTTTCTCTTTTTCAGTGTATGAGGTATTAAAGCAAATTTATTTAAAGGTAAGAATGACCCATACTGGAATATACTCCTATGATTTAGTATCTCTCTTTTACTAGGAATCACTATTTTATTCTATCGCTAATCCTTTCTCTTTGTAGACACCTAAAGTAATGAATGACAACTTAATAGAACATAGCAGCTCTGATATGTCTTCCCAGACTGCTATTGTGGAATGGTACTGGATCTAGTAACATGACCAGCAACTTTGATAGAGCACAGATTCCAATTTCTGAAGTTGCAGAATAATAACATATTATTTCAGTCCTCTCAACAGTCATTCTCAAAGATTAAAGTTCCATGAAATGGAAGCATATTTTGCTTACTCAGGAAGACGCTCATAAGCAGTCAAAACATTCCACACTTCACGAACAGGAGCTTTCACTGTTATGCAAGCAACAACACAGCGATGGACACCTCCATTTTCCTTCAGCCCAAAACCATTTTATCAGCGAGACTGCCAAACAAAAGTTTCTCTCCCTAGAAAAGGAAAACAAGGGAGAATAGTCTAGAATTAATTAATTACCAATAGGCCATCAAATCTACGAAGATGAACTTCATCCACCATGCAAGGCCTATCAAGTTTGCAAACTTTCCCGAATACACCCCAGTTACTGTTCAACTCACCAGAAGAAGGGGGCAATGGGCCAAAATTAGAGCCAGCATAACTCTCCATGATCCCACCAAGAGTAAGATTATCCTTCTCTGACAAAGAATTATCATTGTCTATGCTAGCGGAAGTAGTGAAAGCCATGGATGTTGTACCCAAGGAACTTTCAGTCATTGATATATTCTGATTCCCTTGAAAATTTCTTTCAGCTCTACAAGCCAATGCTTGAAGATTCACGGGAAGATCTGATCTGATAATCCTCTCCAAGAATATGGCTGGGAAGTTGAACCTAGGTATCACATTAACTTCATATGATAAAGTTGTCATTGACAACCTGCATAATATAGTAACAAATAGAGAGAATTAGGAATGTTAAAAATGGGTTTAAGTGACAGTAGACACATATTAATAATTGACATTAGACAAGTAGATACATAAAGACACAGAGAATAATAAATTGATAATATAATGAAGGGAAGTTATTGTCCTGCAACTATATATAATCATCTTGGCTTTATTCATAATGGATAGTGTGGAGCCAGATAAATACTGTACAACAAGGCCCAACTCCGCGGATCCAACTTCATGGTAAGTTGGCAGGGGTATTTTGGTAATTTACACACCTGTTATGTTGCCCTAATGTGAGGGTATTTATTTATTTTGAACTCTCTGTATCTTGTGCCGTTTTGATCATCATAATGAAACCCCTGCATCCCTTGGACGTGCCCTATTTTTGGGTGAACCAAGTAAAAATATGTGTGTTCTTGTTGTGTGTTTTTGATCTCTTTTATGTGTTTTCTGTTTAATTTCGCAACAATTCAAACATATGAAAATGATACTGCTGGATCCTTAAAGGAAAAAATTGAGTTTCTCAAATTTTAACACTCTTTTGAGGATTTTTGGCTCATCAGGTTGTGGAAGTTTTATAGTTAATGGAAACAAAAACAGAATCTTATAAATTTGAGTATTTTCACTTCAAGATCATTATAGTATAAGATTCCCTTTCAAATCCTCTGCAAATGTCATTCAATGGGTAATTCCTCCCATACCAGATTAAGGCATGGAGCCAACCAAGTTTTAGCTTGTGGTAAGTTCAGCTTACGATAAAGATTAGTCAACCAGTAAAGATAGATGCATGCTGATCATTGAACATAGTGAAGGCGGCATAAACATAGAAACCATTTGTGTTTATTTATTATAAGAAAGTAAAAAAGTCAATTTTTACCTTCAGATTCGCAATGGAGCTACATTCTCATTATTTCATGATCCATGGTTTAATAGATGACTTTTCTTCAAGCATTTTAATCAAGAAGATTAGTGACTGATTTCCCTAGAAATTCTAAACTTGCTGTCTTGTCGGTGAATGACAGTTGGGATTCCTCATTCTTGGCCTTCTGCAGTGCACAATCTGTTTCTTAATCAAAGGACTACTAATGTAGATAGAATTGTGTGGAAATATGGTAACTTCACTTTCAAGTCCGTATGGGGAACAGGCTCCACAAGTGAACTGGTTTAGCAGGCCTAGGAATGCTTTCACAGCTTGTCTAATTATGCATGATGGTCTACCTTCATTCGCTAATCTCAAGAGAAGGGGTATTAAACTTGCTTCTATATGTTATCTCCGTTGTGAAGGTGATGACCATACTGAGCATCTGTTTTGGGAATGCTCATTTGCACAGAGCTTATGGAAATGGTTTTTCAGAATTTTTAATTGGGAGGGGTTTGATTGGCTGAATTCTTTCCAGGACCTTAACGGCTGGTTCATTAATTACAGTGCTTCTTTGAATTTGAAAGTGAAAGTAACAAGAAATATATTTAATGCTATTCTGTGGCAGATTTGGAGGGAGAAGAACTTGATATTACATCAAGGCAGGCATAGGGATGTTGATGCAATTGCTAGAGAGATCTTTGCTGATTGCCTTCAGTTTCTAGGTTTATGTCTTGAAGATTTTCATGTAATTTTTTGATGAGGTAATTTTTTGCTGGCTGCACTTCATGTAGCTGGTTTATTTGTACCTATGTTTTTTGTTAAGAAGACTTTCTTCTCTTTTCAATGTATTCTTTGTACATATTTATTTAATAAAATAACCATATTCAGGAAGGAAAAAAAAATGTAAATTTTGGCGATTTGAATTGGGCTAGAATTTCGGGGTAACTAGGATTCCTGCAAGAGGAAGATCCCTTTCCAGTAAGGAGGGTAGTCCCTCCTCCCAACTGCTGCAGGGAGCCACTACAATCCCTTCTGGTTCTCCCCCAACGCTGCATGGTGAAACCCTTTTGACAATGCAACAAAATCTTGTTTTTGAACTTGAGTTTCTATGAGAACTGCATATGGCAAAACAAGGCGATCGTCGTTAAAGAGGATGTAAAGGAATATGTTGACTACTGAAGGATACTACTCCTCAACAAGTGTAAGGTTATCTCTGAGCCTGTGAAAAGAGAAGGTTGGTCTGAGCCTGAGAAAAGGACCAGTGTATAGGTTTCTTCTCTACCTGGTAAAGAGAAGTGAGATAGTGAGACTTGGGAATCCTCGGGAGGCTCCCTTGGAAGCAAGGACATTGGCAGGTGCCAAACCTTGTAAATCGTTGTGTCTTGTGTTTGCAATTTCTATCCCTTGAACTCCTTATTTGTTGTCTTCTTGCAAACCATTGTTCCGTGCCTTGTTTGATTTCTGGTCTGTTTGCACACCAAAGACCAATCTGTTTGTCGAGCAAGCATACTTAGATTTCCATCTTCGTACTCTGTTTAGCGCTAGAAAACAGAATACCCAAATCCACCCTTACCTATCCCAAAAACAGCCCTTAGTCAACCTCTGTTTTTGTGTAGCTAGCCTTAAGCCACAGCCTGATTAGTCCCAAGCTTCACAAAAAGCTTTTGATCTTGCCTAAAAACTATTCACCCTCCGCCGCCGCCTCCTCCTCCTCTAGAGTCATTGTCTCGGCAACAGCCACATGCATGTTAGAAACCCTGTTGAACATAACATGGACCAAGGGATAATGTCCTTGAGGCATTTTAAAGCAAATGGCGCTTGCTCTAGAATGGTGATTCTACAAAATTGGAAGTCCTCATAAAATTTTGTAAAGAGTTCATTTAAAAACCCCTAAAATGATGGCTCGCATGTAATGAAATACATCCAAATAAGACATTACCAAAAGAAAAAGATTTGTGTTAAAAGACATATAAAACACAACTGAACACCATTTTTCTGCTGGGAGTTCAACTGCCTCTTAAGTAGGCGTATAAATGGATCAGATTTGGACTGGATATGGCTTGATCCAATCCGATTCTGATACAATTATTTTCTGATCTGATCCGATAAACCAGACGAATTATTTATGAATGAGTTCATATCCGATTTTTTTATTAATTGGATATCGGGTCTGATAGCTAGATCCGTTAAGGGTGTGATTTTTTGTTCAAAATATTTAATGTCAAAAGAGAGAGACAAACAATGGTTAGTTAAAAGAAAAGAGAGAGAAACCAGAGAAGACAACTAAAAAATGAACAAAATAAAAATAACAGAAGAAGAAAATCATATATTATAGGGTGTCAGATCAGACGGGATCGCCCATATTCCGTATCCGATTTATATAGCTAATGGATTATTGGAGTTGGATCTCTAACGGGGTATCAGGTTAAATGTTTCAATCCATATATGAGTTATCGGATTGGATTCGGATCAAAGCCCAGTCTATTGACAGGTCTACTCTTCAGCAAACACCCTTATTTTTATCACGTGGTATACTTGGAACAATTTCAGCAGCACCATGGAAATTCTTTTTCATTCTTCTCGAGTGTTTGTTTGTTACCATGTTGATGATAATCCAAAACATATTGGATTTAAATAAAAATATATACATCAAATGTTCACGAGACAAGAATTATAAGAAATTTTCAATCATACAGGTTGTTCAGGGCAGTATTTTTCCATCCAATTTCATATAAGTCCATATATTAATGAATATTATATATATATATATATATATATATATATATATATATATATATATATATATATAAAGGATGGATTTAGTGCTCTAGAAGTACAGTAGTAAATAACTTAGATATACAGCACTTCTGGAACTAAAACATGTAAAAGAGAAAAAAAGGGAGAGATAGAGAGCACATACAGGACAATTAACTCAACAATCATAGTTAAACATGTTATTCAAACAGAGATCATGGTATCTACCTTTTGCAAGTTTTCAAAGACCATTTTCCTTCAAACTTCTTAAAATCCCCATCAACCATCGAAAAACGGAGTTCACGATCATTAGCCTGAATTAGGAGCAATCTTTTAGAGTGACAATGAACATATGCATAACTAAAAACACTCAATTTTAAATATATGCAGCAGAGAGTTGGGAAATGTATTTAAAACTACATAAGATGTTACAAATATATTAACTAAGGCATCAAACAGACTAAGAAAGGTGAACCTTGTTCCTACACACATAATGGAAATCAATTTAAATTTTCGAATTACGTAGTTTAGGTGAAGGAGTACAGGAGACCTTGAATTTATCACTGGAGATAAAGATCAATTTTCAAAAAAAAAATGGTAGCGGCAAGAAGAAAAGAAAGAAGAATGAGAACCAACCATAATTGGGACCCTTAAATATCATAAGACAAAGGGAACTGGAACAATAGGTAGTCATTAATGATTAGACAAAGGAAAAGAACAACAATTGGCTTTATTCATCTTTCTAAAGACATATAAGGAAAGGTGGACTTTTTTTGGGGATAGAGGGAGTATTTGAGATTAAGATGGTTACCAAATTAGGGAATTCTTGAAGATCCAACACAACATGTGCTTCTATGTGCCAATATAGTGCCTGTTGCAAGCCTCTTTGCTCCAACCATATTCGCCCAGGATGCGGACATGGAATTGTCCCACTGAAAATCAAGTGTGCAGTACATTGAGTTAACAACAATAATAACATCATTATCACAAACATACACTAGTGGGAAAATTGAATTAAAAAATCATAATAGAAGTCCCTACTATACTGAAAAACCAAGTAAATGGGGAAGAGGAATGGCTGGCATATATACAAAATAATATGCATATATATATATATATATATATATATATATATATATATATATATAATAGTTAATCAGCCTCTTTCAACTAATGAAGTAGTTAGAAGCTCACTACTTCACCACATTGTTATATAACCTTCAAATTGAGAAAACTGTCTCACATAGTAAAGTACAGGCTTCTTCTAGTCCAAATGGAATTTTCAATCTTCACAAAAAAGAATATTCAAAATAAACCATCTAAAAGTTAGGAGAATAATCTACTAAGAGAGAATCAAATTTCATGCTCTCCAAAAAAACTCTGTTCTAAGCACTACATTTTCTGGTTTCTGGAAATCAATGGAAGAGAAAAATATATATGAACTTGCAAAGGAAAAAAGGAACAAATTATGTGGAAGTCCAAAATACTATGTGCACATCCATTCGAAGGTGATTCTTTTCTACAACCCCACAAGTGGAAGTCCCAAAAAAGAGATCACGTGTTTTCTACTAAATATTTGTATTTTTTTTGCCATAAACGCACTCCACTCCACTTCTTTATAAATACATCCACGTTGAATGTGAAATTATTGAGAATGAAGTATACGGGGCATTTATATCCATGAGTTCAAGAAAAAAATAAAAAAATAAAAAAAATGAGTGCATTTAAAAAATAAATAAATAAGCGCAGCACATTTATCATTTCATATTGCCAAATGCCTATTTAAGTACCCATTTTATCATCTAAATGGTCCAATTAAACCAATATGTTGCAAAACATGACTACAAATTCGACCCTCTTGAGAATAAAAATGTTGACAACTTGACAAACTATATATATATATATATGGTATAGAAGAGATTCAATTTTTATGAATTTACCTGGAAACAAGATTGGGGATGAAATCGGCTAGCCTCTCGTAGTCGGTGAGAGCATCCCAAACCGAGTCAATGTTGGCATTAACCAAAATTTGGGCCTTAATTCTTCGTTCCCGCCACGATATCACTTCAACCTCGCAACGGACCTTTTTCTCTTCTTCTTCGTCGTCGGCATATTCGTTTTTGGCTCTGTGTCGGTTACCATAAGCAAAATGACTTGTAGGGTTCCATTTGGGTCTGTCAGTGGAAGCGCAGACAAGGCAATTGTTGCGCAGAGAGAGGTTAGACTCTGAAAAACATAGATATCTAGGGTTTGTTGATGTTGATTTGAAGGTGAAGTCTAAAGAGAGTGATACAGAGCGCAGGTGTGAAGCCTTGCAGGTTATCATGGATAGAGAGAGTGTGTCTCTGTGTGGTGACGGAGTGTTCAGTTGAGTGGAGATTTTGAGTAGTTTGCTTTTATCTGTTGGAGACCGTTAATTCCTCACCACGAGTGTGTGTGTGGTGTTGCTTTTGTCCCCGTGCTAACTCGGAACTGCGTCGTTCAACTGCCTCCAGAGGGGTATTTTAGTTTTTTTCCTCCCTCCATTTCAATATAATTGTTTACTTCGTAAACTTGTAACTCACATCAAAATTACACGAGTAGTTTACGAAATGGATAATTCTATTGGGACGAAGCAGAAGTAGTATTTCGGTAAACCGGATTGGCGAATAAAAATTGAAAAACTCCAGTTTCTTTGGTTAGAAAGGGCCAGGTTCGAATGCAGCTTAACCCAGTTTAACCCTAATACTAAACAATGGAAAGCACATTCAAAATAAAGCAGGTTCAAATGTCCAAAGTCCATTTTAACCAATCATGCGTGAATAATAATTGTTCTCCAATAAATAAATATAATCAAACCAGCAGTGCTAAATTAGGACTACATCACAACCTTAGCAAAACGTTTAGCCAAGCAAGATTGTAGTGAAATTTTTTGTAATGATTCGGTCATTTTCCTTCCTTTTCATTATCTCAAATTTTACGAATTTTCTTTTTCCGTTAATTTTTCCTTTCGAATTCGGGTTTTTGTCACTTTGTGTTGTTTCAAGTACTTGGAAATAGTTTTTGAGACTATTTCTTTTGGATTAACAACGTCCTTGTGAGGACCGCGTCATTTTCACACTTTCTTTTTTCGGCATTTTCGTTTTTCGTCTTTTTCCCATTTTCATTTTCTTTCGCATAACCTCACTTTTTGTATTCGGATTTGGTTTCAGCTTTGCATGCATCCATGATATTTTATTTCCATAATATGTGTATTTTTACTTTTGTAGAAAAGTATGTTAATTGCTTACTTTTTCGTAAAGGGCATAGATGTATAGTTTTTTCGGAAACATTTTTTATTTTTGAGATTTTAATGTAATTAAAGAAAGTAATTATTATTCAATTTAATTTAGAAGATATTTTGAAAAATGACATTTTTGTAATTTTAAAAAAGTGTGACAAGTGTCACACTCTCATTGGTTCACACTTGGGAGCCTTGGATGATGACATGTTAAGGGTGAGGATTCACCCACTTGTTGACCTAGGATAGCTGCACTTGTTGGCTTGGATGACTGACAAGTGTAGGCTTAAGATAAAGCCTAGGATGGATGCTTAAGATCGTGACAAGTGCAGGCTCCAAATTTTGTCTTACATTTTTGTGTGTGTGTGTGTGTGTGTGTGTGGAGAGAGGGGGGGGGGGGGGGGTGTTAGTGGAACTTTGTTTCTTCCTCACAAAACCTCTTAGCCATCATTGAAAGAAAGTTTAACATAGGCTTAAAACCTTAGTTTTGGTTCCCTTCTACTCACCTTTGACCTAAAAACTTAGAATACAAAAGCTTCCCCTCATCTTCCTCTACAAAACCCTTGAAGGAATTCTTGGAATTCCTTTACTTCCATTGGATTCAAGAGGAACAATCCTCTTATAAGGTAGGGGATGTTTATAGCCTTGCAATCTTGATGTCTTAATTGTTTTTGAGGTTTATATAAATTGTATGCATGTCTTTGTATATAATCTAGAATTTTATTTAATTATTCTTTGTGAGAAATCAAATTCACATAGTTGTATCTAGTGTGAAATTAACTTAAGACATGATATTAAATTAAACCTTCACTTGTTCTTTAATATATATTAATTTGAGAATATTTAGATGAGTTTTGAAATCTAGAGATTTTAATTAAACGTATTAATTAAAATCTATTTAATGGTTCCATTGATTTAATTAGGTATTTAACTTGATATATGTAACGATCTTGACTTGTTCTTTAGCATATATTAATTTGGAATCATTTAGAATTGTTTTAAAATCTAGAGATCTAATTATTTTAATTTAATTAAATTCTATTTAATTGTTCTAATGATCTAATTAAGTTTTTGATTTGATATATAAATTGACCATGATATGAATTTTGACATATAATTTTTTGAAGTCATTTGAAGTTGATTTAAATTCTAGATAAATTAATTAATTAGTTTAATTAATTTTTATTTAAGTGTTTCATTCATTTAAATAAATATTTGACTTGATATATGTAATGATCATGATGTGATCTTTGACATAAATTAATTAGGGATTATTTGGATGAGATTTGAAATATAGGAAAATTAATTATTTTATGTCATTAATTTCCATTTTGTTGTATTAATGATTTAATCATGTATTTGATGTTGCTTGCATGTTTAAATCATGATTTTGGTCTTGTTGTATAATCATGTGATTATGATTTGAAAGCATGTTTAGTATATATTTATATGTTGTATAACATGTTGTAGTAAATTATTTCATTTGCTAACTTTTTAAATTTTAGAGATTTTGTTATTGTGCTGATGAAATCTTGTGTAATTATAATGAAATTACTTTTAAGGCTTATTATTAGATTGTTGTATCCCTAATAATTGTAGCTTGCATGATAGTAACTTGGTTTAATTAATCTTTAGAAATTCAAAGCATATGTAGCTTGTGAATAGAGGTTATTTGATTTAATAACTTGTTAATTCCTAGAAATGTACCTTGTTGTATACTACTATATTTACCTTAGAAGCTTGTTGCTAAGTTGTAGAATATTTAATACTTGTTCCTCACTTGATGGTAATTTGATTTAGTTGAATTATAATGTCACTATAGCGTGTAACGAATCGCACATTGAAGATTCGATATGGTGTATGCCATTGTAAACTTGAAACCTTAGGACATGGTTTGTGTGGTTTCACCCTACTTGTGCATGGAAGGTGATCTACACATTATTTGATTTTGTATAAGTTTTGGGTTCATTTGTTGATTTTGGAAAGCTTATAAGGACATATATTATATGATGGCTAGGGTTTGGCTCTAGTACGGGAGATATGAGTTCTCCCTTTGTCATAGAGTGCGCACTAGGTAGTACATTATGTGTCGTAATTACCCGGAATAACTTACACATGTGCACATTAGGTAGTATTTTGTGGGTCGTAATTACTTAGAATAATTTGTTTGGTCATAAGACTACATGTTCTAGTCTTTCCACTACATGATTTCGCATTCAATTCCAAGTTGTTAATTATTGATTACTTGTAACCTGTAATTTGGTGTATGTGTTTTCAATTTCAATTAGTATACTTGTACTTGTATACTTGCTTTACGTTTATTTAAATCCCATTTAGTATACTCGCACTTTGTATACTTACTTCGTGTGTATTTAAATCCTATTTAGTATACTTGCACTTTGTATACTTACTTCGCGTATATTTAAATTCCATTTAGTATACTTGTACCTTGTATACTCACCTTATGTGTTTTTCAACTCCGTTTAGTATACTTGTACCTTGTATACGTGTTCGGTATATTTAAATTTCATTTAGCATACTCATACCTTGTATGCTTATATCTTGCGTATTTTGTTTCAATCGCGTATGTAGCTTAGGATGATCCCTTAGTCTTACCTTGGATATAGACGTTAGGTGGCATGAACCCCATGGATTGTTTTTTTTATCAACTTGCAAAACTTGTAAAACTTTAGGTTATACGCATGTTCATTCCCTACGAGTAATGTAAGTTACTCACCCCGTTGAATGTGATTTGTTTCAGGTAAGGAAATGTGGTTTTGGGATGCACAACATCCTTAGGTTGTCTTATTGATTTGGAGTACTTTTAAAATATTTTTGCTCACATGCAAGTGTTAGCATATTTAAGTTTTACGTATAAAGTTGTAATACTTAGCGAGGTTCATTATGTCATTTATGCCTTATGTTATGTAAAGTATACTTAGAAACACTCTTTAGGACATATTTAATATGTATGAAATGAGGTTAAGGGCCATTTACTTTTAAGTTGTCTTCTAAGTACTTTTGGTTTCATGTATAATTAAATAAAAATGAAGAAATTGGATGCTTTAGCATGTCATTTTCATTTTTGGATGTGTAAAGTATGCACAAGCACACCCTTTAGGTCACTTTATATATCAATAAAGTCTGATCAAGGACCAAACAGTCTTTTGAATGCATCTATGTATGTTGGTTTTAAGTTTTTCCTTTAAAAGTCATTTTAGGTAAATTTGAGTTTTGATATGTCGTATTTTGCATTGGGCATATTTGGGGGTTGTGGACCATTTATGCGCACTTCAAAACACTTATTACGTTTGTGTGCACAATCGTTTTAGCACATAACTTCATATTCAACCAAATGAAATTTGTTTTATCATTGTTAAATATGAGTAAATGATATTTATCATGCTTTTATCATATTTATTGTTCTAGATTCGAACTGTTACAGTTTATAATTGTGGTGCTATTGTTTGATATAGCTATGATGAAATTTATACATGTATGTGATGGAATCATTGAAGTAGCTAATAAGTTAGGCTCCATAAAATTCTATGCCATTGTTAGATATGGTTTTAGTGATTTGATGTGTAGGTGGGCTGGCTGATAAGTCAGGTCACTCTACTTAAGCCATTGTTAGATATGGCTTTGCTTATTGATGATTATTTTTATATTTATGTATGAGCCATGATACGAGCTTGAGGTCTCGGAATCAATGGTTAAGATTAAGGCGTATATTGCTGAAAAGATGAGTAGCTGAATATAGGAGATGTGTGTGCCCTGGTAGAGGGGGACTCTTGACCACCTAGTATTCGATTTTTCTTGAGATACCCACTACACGGTTGAGACTGACCTATATGTCAGTAAGCGTCTTAGTGTGTGTGTGTGTGTGTGTGTGTGTGTGTGTGTGTGTGTGTGTGTATCGACTATGTATCTATTGTATGAGTTTAGCCAGGAATGTATTAATTATCAGTTCTCTAATTGGGTCGTAGTAGAGGGGGCTTGCTCGTGGGTCTACCCCCCACTTTATTTTTTAGGTTCACGTCAGTTCCAGACTTAGAGTTCATTCATGCTTATCAGATACATCCTTATTCATTCTTCCGGATTTGACGACGTAGAATATTATCTT